GAAGTTCACGATTTCTTCATGTGCTTTATGATTTTGAAGTTATTTCACATGAACAATTTCCTGTCACTTGTGGACTGGTAGTCTTTGTTTTTGTACTTCACACGGACTCAAACACAGTATTAGACACAAAGTAAGAATGAATAGACTTGGCTTTCTTGACTGAGAATATTTTATTCTGTCATAACTATATCTTGCTTTGCTTTGTTTTGTTCTACATTCCATTCACTTCTGCGCTTGTAACCCCTCAGTGAGGCATTTCTGGGTTTGTTTGATTTTTCAGGAAACAGCGACATTCAAGGATGTGCCTGTAGAATTCACCAAGGTTCCACTGGCTCCTGAACAGAAGGGTTTACGCTGGGATATGATGATGGAGAATTATAGACATCTGATATCATTGGTCCCAAATTCCTTTCCCCTTAGGAATGTCATTGTCTCTTTTTGACTGTTAATAGTGCTGACATATCACAAGAACTTAACTGGCTTCTCTCTGGTGTGGGGTCAGAATAATCAGATATTTCTAAAGCACATTTTAAGCGAAGAGACTCGGTGTTTCAGCTTTCCATTCCTCAGATCTGTTATCCTGAAGTATGTCTAGAAACTAGCCAGTATGTTAACTTACACGACACTATTCTCTTTACCCTAGATCAGAAACTCTCTTTGAAGTACTCCTCACTATCAAAATGTAGTAGGAAATATTCTAGAGCTTAACAGTTCAGAGCTCAGCTTTGGGACTTCATTCATGATGAAATCCAACAGTGTGTTACCCTGGGCGTGTCACTCAACCTCTCCAAGTCTAGGTTTTATCTAAGACAAAATAGCACATTATTTGGCTACCTATTATTCTCCTAGCAAAGAAAATTACATTATAATTTTATAATATTTCTGATCACTTGCCTCTACGCCTGCTCCCAGCTGGTGCTGTCTCTTTCTAGGACATATTCATGTCTATTTTGCACTACCTTCCAGACCTTTCCATGTACCCTGTATTCCAAAATACTCAAGTTTCTGCCAAGGACGCTTAAGTGGATTTTTGACTTTGAAATCTCCAAGATCTTATTTTACTCAACCAACATTTTAAATTCTTAATGTTTCACATCTTTTCTTCCTGAAGAAGGAATTCTGTTTCATGATTGTGACATAGATATCCTGCCTGACTTTCCAGCTTGCTGGCCCACTCTACATATAAGCCAATTAGATCGATAAGTGATGAGATGGATTGATCAATACATAGAGACAGAAGCAGGGAGATCTCTATAGAAAGGGACTGAGGTAGAGAGATGAGAGAAGGAGATTTACCATATATGTTCTGCTTCTCTGGAAGAACCATCAAACAGCCATAACATTTTTTAGTATCTTGTTACACAGCAATAGGTACATGAAGCAACAAGGCTAGAAGTTGTCTAATAGTGCAAATTACATCCAAGTTCATCCTTTTTGACAAAATATCGTGTGCTGTGGACTTCCTGTGACTTCATCAGGAAGCATATAATGTTAATTTCTCCCATTGTTAATGATGCCAAATTTGATCCCTAGTTTCAATGGAGACATAAGTTTCTCCTTTGTAAAGATTTGTTTTTTGCTTTGCAATTAGCAAGATAGCTCTGTGCTGATACTTTGGTACATGAGAATATCCTATTTCCCAGGAAGCACACTTTTACCTGATAATTTAAGGATGCATTGATGTTCCTCTAGATTTTCCCCTAAATGGTTTGTATTTCCTTCATTGCTCTTCCTGGTATCTTTCCCATTTAATGTATGTTCATCTATACAGAATCCTTATGGAGGCTGTTCTACCAACTGAAGCGTCAGTAAAAACTCTCTTTTTGGACTGAAAATAAATTCTGGCTAGATGTCCTTTTTTAAATTATTATATTCACATGTATTTGGGTAAACAGCAGTCCCCGCCCTGCTTCCCACCCAATCTACATACCAAGGTTCCTCTCTTAATAATATCTATATTATTTGAAGGGCGCCTGGGTGGCTCAGTGGGTTAAATAATATCTATATTATTTGAAAACAAGAATAAGAACAACAAAAATCACGAGGGGACATTTCTTCAATACATATACCCAACAAAAACTTTATTTGTAAAGTGTATCTCACAGGTTAGATTGGAAAAATGAAAAGATCATGTTTAGCGAGAAAAGCACTTCCAACTTCGTCTCTGTGGCGCAATCGGTTAGCGCGTTCGGCTGTTAACCGAAAGGTTGGTGGTTCGAGCCCACCCAGGGACGGCCTTCTCTATTTAAGGACACCACTTAGAGGTTGCGGTTTTTCTTCCTAAGTTTTGTCTGACGATATTGTTTCTGACCGTTCTCACAAATTAAATTAAGATCTAGCTAACATATTTATCCAGATCATCTTTGGGATAGGCGTAATTTTCTCTTGTTCCGTGATTAAAAATGTACCGAATGCCTTCAGTATGCCATCAAACATGAGCCCAGCCCCGTCATTTTGTACCTCATTCTACTCTGTTTCCAGGTTCCCTCTCCTTCATCTGCGTTGGTCCACCCCGCAGCGTGCACAGCGCCAAGAGCAGCAGCGGCCACTTGGCCAAAGCCGCACGAAGCTTGCCCTCCACACGCAGCGGCCCACCCTCTCCCTGAGTCGGACCCTGGGGACATCCGTAAGAGACTGCGAAGAGCGCTGGAGGCTTCTGTCTGGGATAGCTGGTTTCCAGCGACTGGTATTTTTCTAAATCATCCGTTTCCTTGCTTATAACTGGAATCCCAAAAATGGTTGCTTACACTTTTTGTAAGAGGCATTTTGACATTATCTACCAAAATGACTCTGCAAGTTCACTTCTGGAAAGGTATACAATTATTATATTTGTACAACTAAAACTGACCCATGTCAGGGTCACTCATGGCAACATTTCAAAGAGGAATAACATTTTAAGTGTAAAAAAGGTGTTTTCCTGCCCTCAAAAGGCTGTCTCCCGGGAATCAGGCTGACAGCTCTTGGGAAATTCATTTTCTTCCAGACATTCTTATTTCCGTTTCTCACTCCACCTTTGATTTACCTGTTACCAGGCTGTGGGGATGAGCTTTGTGCAGAACTATTGAATTGGAGTCTGTAATGCTGACCTCGAATATATTGATGCTGACCTAATGCCACCCCAACAAGTTTATTTCATTCAAAAAATTAAGCCCTATTATGTGTTTTACTTTAGAAGTTGTTAGCAACCTAAGGGATAAGAAGTTTCTTAATCTTGATATTCTCTTTATCTAGCAAAGGGGGAATGGGAACTTAGAAGTCTGAGTATGTGAATAAGCTTATCAAATTCCGACACTGGATTTTTCTGGCTCACTTGGAAGACATCATGACCGGAGGAAAACAATCCACATGAAACTCACAAGAAACACAGAACAAGAACACAGAAACAAGGGTATGGAGTTCCTAAGACTGAGGGTGTAAAATTACACTTCTTTGATGGGCAGGAGAGGTATAGGCACTGTGGGAAATGTTACATCAAGTAACCATCATCTCTTACTGGTCATTTTTATTCTCCCAAATTAAGTGCACCTACCAAATCAAAATCTCAACATGACCAAGATTTTATTTTAGAGCCAAATAAGTGAATTAATTCACTTTGCCCAAAGAACGGATCGGTAAATATTGAAGACATTGGGGGGGAAACCAGCACAAGCAAAACCCAAATTATTATAATCACTCCACTACTTCCTATAAGTTTAATGAACTAGATATTGGCCAGTTTTTTAAAGATTTTATTTAAGAGAGCATAAGCAGGGGGAGAGGCAGAGGGAGCAGACTCCTGGTGGAGCAAGGAGCCCAATGTGGGCTCGATCCCAGGACCCTGGGATGACCTGTGCCGAAGGCAGACTCTTAACCAACTGAGCCACCCAGTGTCCCTTTTCTAACTTTTTTTATGTCATCTCTACACCCAGCATGGGACAAACTCACAACCCAAGATCAAGAGTTAAGTTCCACCAACTGAGCCAGCCAGGAACCCCTGACCAGTTTTAATTTATGTATTTATTTATTGAATTTATTTTCATTTACTGTGACACTTGTTTTCAGTTTCTCTTAGTGGCTTACATACGTTCTTTGTGGCCTCCAGGCCTGCTCTGCATGTTGCCTGTGAACCCTTCCCCATCTGAGCCCTAATTCCCGGAAGTGTATCTGTGGAGCATCGTTTGTGCCCAACCACCTCCCAGGCTTTGTCTACCTTTACAGTGATTTGAACCCAACAATTCACCCACCAACTTTTGTTTCCAACAGGACTACACCGGTTTCAGTCAGACTTCTGTTCACTTTTCAGGAATGATCTGGAAAGCCTGGTGAAAATGGACCCATCTCTGAAGAGTGTGATCGGTTATCAGCTGCGTATTTAGCGCCGCTTACCTTCCTGGAGAGTCAACCATACCCTCCCAGGGCCCCTAGTTTCCCTGTTAGATACAACTACCATGATGCCTGCAGAACCTCTGTACATTTCTTTTTTTTATTATTTTTTTATTTTTTTTAATTTTTTTTTTAAGATTTTATTTATGTATTTGACAGATAGAGATCACAAGTAGGCAGAGAGAGGAGGAAGCAGGCTCCCTGCCGAGCAGAGAGCCCGATGCGGGGCTCGATCCCAGGACCCTGGGATCATGACCTGAGCCGAAGGCAGAGGCTTTAACCCACTGAGCCACCCAGGCGCCCCATCTGTACATATATTTCTTTAATGTCTCTTTCTAGTGGCAACTCTTGAAGCCAAGGGCTGTTATTATTACCTACTATATACCTACTATATACCTCATATAGTGATTTAGTAAAAGCTGAACTAGATAACTGATAAAATGGGCTAAGAAGTTAATCCGATACATAGAAAAGGGTCCAGGCTGAATTGGGAGGGTCGGGGAGGAATGGTGGCTATGAGACCAGGAAATAAAGTTAAGGGGGATGAAAAGGGACATGAGAGGAAAAGTCAGAATTTATAAAACACCCCCCCACGCCCCAATAAACTACAAAGGCATATAAATATATATATATATTTCTTCTTTTCTATACATTTACTTGGAAGGTGGCTCCCAACCCAGTCCAACCCCATTACCCCCAGGCCCTGTTAATCTTCTCAAATAAAAAGGATGTTGCAGCTTCCCTTCATCTATAGTTGGTGGAACAGCTGACTGGAGTAGGCCTTATTACTCTAGCTTTAAGTAAAAGGTCTTCCTCAGCCCAGGAAGTGGGATTTTTAGAGGATCTCACTGGGCAGGAAGTAGACAGTCAAGAATCAAGCAAAACTGGCATCCTGCAGTAGTCATACTCTTGCTAGTCTGAATTAGGTGCTTCAGCCAGGCAACAGGAGTTGGAGGGGGGACCAGAGCCCCAGAAGACATCTATGCCTAAGCACCCACCAGACTCCTGGTCTTAGAAAGATAATATAATCATTGTCAGTAGTTGTTATCAGGTAAGGACAGGAAGCAGGGCCAGGAGATGGAAAGGGTCTCCCTGCCCTTCAGGAGTCCTTGACTACTCAGGGCTCCTCCATGCTCTCTGAAGGCAGTGGGGCTCCAAAGATCTTGGCAAGCAGCCCTCGGTTGGAGCGAGCCTGGTCCTGGGCATTTGCCAGGCGAGCCCGTTCGCGTCCCCCTGGCCGAGCTGCCTTCCGGGCTCTCAGCTCTTGCTCAGTAGGACGCTGGGCAAAGGTCCAGGTGCCATTCGGGCGGGCAGAGTCCCCTTCAGCAGCAAGGAAGCGCTGTCCCCGTTCCACACTTCGAAGATAGAAGTCAGTCTCACGCTTGGCCTGGGCAACCTCGGCCCTCAGGCGCTGCCTGCGCACCTGGCGCTCAAAGGCGAGATGTTCGCTGAGGTGGGACCACGTGAAACGGTGCAGGTACTGTGGACAGGAAAACATTAAAAGATCTGGGTAGGACATGTCAGGAGCGGAAAGAAGATCAAAGAGTGGGGTCAACAAAAGGAAATGAGATGCTAGGGCTGGGGCTGGGAAGGCGGGAGGATGGGATGCGACAGAGAAGCTTACCCCCTCACCTTGAGGTTCCATAGGTCATAACGGAAGGGGCTGCGCTTTCGGGCCCCCATGGGCGTGTTGTGAAGGCTAGCCGCCACGCGCTTGGCTACTCGCTTGTCCCGGAACTCCACCCAGCCCTCGGTGTAGTCCTTGCTGTACTTGGACCGCTTTTTGCCTCCCGCTGTCGAGGCTGCCGCTGCCTTCTTCTTGCGCCTCACGAACCCGTCTGTGCCAAAAACACAGCAGTGGTTTAGGAAGCCGGCGCGGCACCCAATCAACTTCACCTCCCACTAGTCCGCGGGCCAGGATCCCACCTCGAGGTCCTTGTCCGGAAGAGAACTCCAAGGTCCATCCTTTCCCTACGTCTCAGTCTTTTCCTCAGACTTCAACTCCTGCATCAGATCTGCTCTGTACGTGCACACGCCAATGCATGTGCAGACATGTACAACCACCCTAATCCCAATTCAATAAGTGCCTGTAGGGAAGCTGGGGTCAGGTGATCATACACTGTCGCTAGACCTGGGTCACGATGACAAAGGGGATGGATTCAGTTTTGTGAAAACGCCTCTCAGATTTTTATTCAGTGTGAACTCATTTAACAAGCCAGTAAAATCGGTTCAGGAAAGGGGGGTGTGCGGAGTAGACTCATCTGTGCTTACTGAGCTACCCACACTCAACCCCGGCTTCCCCAAAGGGTCCGGGCGCCTGCCTTGAGTCCCGTGCCCCCAGCCGCCGAGCCTCGGGCCCGAAGAGGCGAGCCCACTCGCCGGCAAGCGCCACCCTCCTCCCCGCACAGCCAGAGCCTGCGAAAAAGACTTACCCTCGGGCTGGAAAAAGACGCGCCCGACCTCGCCATACGCGCTGAGAAGGTTCCGTACATGCAAAGGCCGAAAGCGGGGCGGGAGGTGGCCCAAGTACACAATACCAGGCACCACCCTCTTTTTGGCGCCCCAAACCGCCTCTTCGGATTCCTCCTGCTCCTCCACCTTCTCTGGTTTCTCGTCTATCCCTTCCAGAGCCTCCTGCTCCACATTTTCCCTCTCCAACTCCTCTCCCTCCATGCCGGCGGAAAAGAGAAGCACAGCAGCCGTAAAGCTCCGCGCCGTCTGCCGCACTCCGCGTGCGACTGCCATCAGGAAGGGGGCGGGGCCGAAGGGGCGGAGATGAGTGGAAAGACCGGATTGGGTGGAGAGAGCGGAAGTGGGGGCCGGGTCAGCCGCGGGATTTGAAGCCGAAAGGCAGGATTTAGGCTCAGAATGGCCGAAGTGGCGGGGCTCGGACTTGGGCGGTGGGAGTAGAGCAGGTAGGTCCCCAAGTGAACGTGCCTTAGAGAACGCCTCGGCGAGATGGGAAAAACGCGGGAGGCGGGCTCTTCTGAGAATGAGAGAAAACCTGGGGAAGTTGGGAGAGGTTTCTGTGTGTCTCAGCAACCAAAAGAGCATTTTATCCGAGGGACCAGGGTGCGACTCCGGTGTGTGTGTGTGGGGGGGGGGGTGATTCACCTTTTTAAAGTGGACTTGAACTTCAGTTTTTAAAACCGTCTTGATTTTTGAAATTTGAATTATTTTTCAAAACTTCGAGTTCTGAGTGTTTCTGTTTGAAAATGTAGTTTAACTTTGCAAATGCAAGTTTTGGAAATTCAGATTTTGAAGCCTTCAGTTGTGACCTCATTTAGTTTAAAACCTTTTGTTTACTTTAAAATATTAACTTTCAATTTGATTTTGTGACTAAGATGTCCAAAAAATTTTTAATGGGCCATAGTTACTTCTCTTGTTTTCAAAGCGCGATTGGCATTGACCCGTGATGCGTACTGATACTATAAACACCTGTAGTCATGTGTACACACGGCCCTGATTGAGGCGACCCCGGGGCGGCGCGCTTAACCCCGCTCTCCCGGAGCGCGTGTCTGCTGCCGGCCCGGCTGGGCGGCGGGGTGGGCTGTCCTTGCGCCCCTGCTGAGGCCTCTGTCCCGCCGGAGCCAGGCACAGCCCCTTTACGAAGAGCGGAGCCCTCCCGGCAGGGGGCGCCGTCCGCGCGCTCTTGGCTCCGCGGTTCCTCCCACGCGCACCTGCTGCTGGGCGGCCTGCTAAAACCAGCGGCCAGGGATGCGGACCGAAGGTGCAGCCGGCTCTCTGGAAGGGACCCCGGGCGAGTGTAAGGAGAGTATAAATCCGTCCTCGCTGCAGCGGGACAGAATTTCCTATCCTGCTTGAACTGGCAGCTGTGCAAAGGAACCGGGCCAGGGGTCAACTGCTCCCGTCCGAGGGACAGCTCCGGCCAGGCAGCCTCCCAGTATAGTTCTGCCGGAACCTGGCGCCTCGCTCTTCCGTGGAGTGGGCGACAGGCTTAAGAAACCAGCCTCCTCGAGTTCTCACACCAGTTTCATTAATTTTATGGAAGTGAACTTCTTTTTTGGAGGAGTGAGGGGGGCGGTGAGAGAAACAGACTCTGGCCCGCGTTGAATTCCTCATGTCTTCAAAACACTGAGCGACGATGGATGAGAAGAGAGCGCATCTTGGTATTTTTTCTAAAAGGTCGGGAGTAGGAAGGGGGCACGTGGGAGAATAGAGGATGCCAGCGTACGGGTGTGACGCCTCTGCCGGTAATTGATGCTGTTTTCTCTACTTTGTGTGTATTTGAAACTGCCATTAATAAAGTGTTTATTCACTGAAGTATCAACATAACAGAAAGACCATGGGACCTCCAAAATGAAATGAAAAGGTCCTTCCCGTTCTCCACGCGCCCCATCACCCTTGCTTAAACTCCATGAGAAGTCAGTCTCCCTGGAGACCAGATCTTACAAAGACGCAGGTTCTCGTGTATGTGCCTGTGGATCATTTATTTATTTTTTATTATTATTTTCAGCCTTACAAATTCGTCTGTGAGCACAAATGACAATGTTCCCAACTGTTCAAGTTTTTGTTTTTGTTTTTTCCCTGCGTGAAGAGTCCACGCAAGCGGTATCAATGGAAACCTATCAAAAGGGTGAATCCTTCGAGCCGGATTCGAACCAGCGACCTAAGGATGACCATGGTCAACCATCTACAGTCCTCCGCTCTACCAACTGAGCTATCGAAGGATTGGTGATAGGGCTTGTTATAATACCGCTAATAATGTTTATCCCCGTGGTTTTAATCATCTTTTTAAAATTACAGGCAAATGCTTTTTCTAGAGTGCTAGAAATGTTCTAAAACTGGTAGGAGTGGTAATCATAGAGGTATATTGAAAAATTAATACCCTTGAACACTTAAGTTTTGTGTGTTTTACTTTCTGATTTAGATCTTTAAAAAAAAAAAAGAAAGAAAATACCATCCACGTTCCATGTTCTGCTTGCTTATGTAGAATATAGATAGGGCCATCACCCTTATTTCTCCTGCTGTCTCTCTGTCCCTTCTACTCACCGCCTCTCTATTAAAATGATGGATAAATGATAATTTATGCTGGGTTAAAGAGGAATCTATTGTCTTGAAGTGGACATACTGCTGAGTTCATTTTGGAAACGTTGCAACTCTTTTTGAAAGAATGAAAATAATGTATAGACACAGAAGTACTCCACCCAAAACATGAGAAGCAGTGTGTGTGTGTGTGTGTGTGTGTGTGTTTAGGAATTGAGTGGCTTATATTTAGGGGAGCAAATAAATGAAACACCCCTACCCAATCAAAAAAAAAGTACTGTAGACCTCTGTTTGTAGGGATGCTGTCTACTGCTAATGAACACCTATAACAGCCTTTGGCTTCCTGGCTGAACACCAGTGGAGAAAGCAGGAAGCCATCTGGACAGACTTTTCTTGATGATGTATCTATAGGAAGGCTTTCTGGTGAACTTAAAAAAGATTATTTTTTATTACAAATCTTTCATTATTTAAAATAAAAATTTTATTAAAAATCTTCTTTATTAAAAAAGACTAACTATAGTCTTGAAAAAACAAATTTTTCTTCAAAAGGTCCTATCCAGTGATTTCCATGAGGAATCTGCAACACAGAATTCATATTTAATTCAGTTATTCAGATATCTCATGAGAAACTAAGAATATATGGGCTGGTACATTTCTTTGCAATAATCTAACTTAATCTGGGGGAAGTGTGAGAAGCTAAAGTAGAAAAGCCTTAGAGAAACAACCATTGCTTCCATACACTGAGTGCTGTGGCAGAGCCTTGAACACCATAGACATGAAAGCAGCCAAACTCTAGGATCTAAGTTCATGTTGTCTCTCAAATAAAAGCTTCCCCAATTTTCTTTCTTGTTTTTCATGGAAAAAAATGTTTAAATTTTACTTAAGTGTCTTCGAACACACACAGATGGACACAGTATTCATCACACAGGACACTTCCTTTCAGACGTCTCTCCTCATCTCAGAAGCCTCCCTTGCCATAACACAGCAGAGAATCCAAATTTCTTTCTCTTTTCTCTCTTATAAACTTCCAAACTCTCTCTCTTAGCCAGTGCTCATTGGCTTTTGACTTTCCAAGTGTCTACTCATCTTCAGTATCTGTCTTTTTCTTGTGTAACTCTAGCTTTTCCAGTAGGTCAGTCAAAATTTTCCTCTTACCTGATCTACCAGTCTCTCTCTCTCTCTCTCTCTCTCGCGCGCGCTCTTTTTTTTTTTTTTTTTAGAGTTTATTTAAATCCAAGTTAGTTAACATATAGTGTATTATTAGTTTTAGGGATAGAATTTAGTGATTCATCAGTCGCATGTAACAGTGCTCATTCCATCCAGTAACCTCCTCGATGCCCGTCACCCAGTCACCCTGTCCCCTCTACCCACCTCCCCTCCAACCCAATTTTCACAAAGGGCACAAAGGGACCTGAGAAAGGTTCCGTATGTTTCTCATCAGCCAGTGCTAGGTAATGTCCAAGTGCTCATTTGAGATCCCAGAGGCTCTGTCTCAGTTGAGTGGTGTCGCAGAGTTGATTTAAGTCTGAAATGCTTCTCTAGCTAACTGATTCGAACTCGCCGGCTCCTGAAGCCTGCAGACCATATTCCAGCGGAATGCTCAGCAGTCACAAGGAGCAAACTCTTGATGTAATGACGGATGCATCTTCCCTATCCTGAAGGCAGATGCAAAAGGCTGCATAGAACATTCTTATATAAGCACAAAACTAAAGGAATAAAAATACCAGTAGTTAGCAGGTTGGAATTGCAGGGGAAGGAGTTAACTATAAAAGGAGCTGGGAGAAGCTTGGGGGTGTGATGTAACTATTTCATATCTTCATTGTGGGTGTGGTTATGTGACTATACGTTTGTCAGAACTCATGGCACTAAAAAGGGACATTTTATGTAAATGTTGCCTGAATTTTTCAAGTGGGAAAAGAAGCTCCCAAAAAACGAAACCAGATGAAAAGTTAAAGTGTAAGTAAGAATTTATTAGAAAGCAATTTAATCTTATTATCAGACTAGAAGAGACCTCTATGATCTCAATAGATGCAGAACAAACATGACAAAATTAGGATGCTTTCATGGATTACATTTCTGCCAACTAGTAACACAAGGGAATTTAATCTACCTGTAAAAGACATATTGAAAAGCCCTACCATTAGCGTATTGAATAGTGAAAGACTGAATGCCTTGTCGCTAAGATCAGGTCTAGAACAAGGATATCCGACCTTGACTTCTAGTCAGCATTGCCCTGGAAGTTCTAGCCAGTACAAGTCAAGAAACAAAAGCATAGATTTGAAAAGGAAAGGCAAAACTGTCTCTATTCACATATGATGTGATGATTATGAAAAAAATGCTGAAGAATCTACTGCAAATAATAAGTTTACCCAAGCTACAGGCCACAGATGTAATAAATTATAATCCTATTTATTAATAAGTATTCTGGTTTATTGAACTTGAAATATACAATACCATTCAGAAGGGTATAAAAAGTGAAATTTTTAGGGATAAATTTAACAAAAAGTACAATAAAAACAACACATTCTATAACAGAAAACTCCACATTTTTCAGAGGCAAAGTCTTCTAAATTGACTTACACACGTAACGCCATCCCAATCGAAATCTCAGTGAGCAGTTTTGTAAAAATGACAAGCTGATTCTAAAATGTATATAGACTACAAAAGATGCAAAATATCCAAAATGATTGTGAAGGGGAAGAACAAAGTTAGAGGACTTGACTCTACCTGGTTACAAGACTTACTATACAGCTGGAGAGAGTCCAGAAAAATATACCAGCACATACACATAATCAGTGGATTTTGACAGAGGCACCAAGATAATTCAGTGTTGACCAGAGAGACCTTAACAAATGGTGCTGGACAAGGTGGATAAACACACGCTACTAAATGAACTCAGACCCTCCACAGCATAATGGACAGAACACAAAATGGATGGAGACTTAAACATAATAACTAAAACTATAAAACTTCTAGAAGAAAAACTAGGAGAAAAATCTCTGTAACTTTAGGTTAAGCAAAAAATTTCTTAGAGCACAAAAGGCATAAACTACAAAGAAAAATGATAAATTAGATTAATCAAAGTCTAAAAAAAAAACCTCAAAAGATGCTAAAGAACTTAATTAAAAGGCAAGTGACAGGACAGGGGAAAAATACATGCAAAACATTTAGGTAAGTGTCTAAGGGATAAGTAATGAAGGTCTTGGATCCCGAATGTATAACCCACTTGTATGACTCAATAGTGAGCCATTTTTTTAATAGGCAAATAAATGATTTGGATAGATAGTTCACCAAACAAAATGTACAGGTGGCCAATAAGCCCATGATAAGGATCCTCAATGTTATTATTCATTAGGAAAATGCAAATTATGAGCCTCAGAATGAGAGTTCCTGTTGACCTCACATCCTCACCAGCACTTGGTGCTGTGTTTTGTATTTTGGCCATTCTAATAGGCATGTAGTGGCTTCTTGTTGGTTTTTCAATTTACAATTCCCTGATTACATATGATGGGGATCTTTTATTTGACACCGGTATATCTTTGGTGAGCTGTGCAGATCTTTTGTCCAAGTTGTTTATTTTATTGTTGTTTTAAAAGGTCTTTTTATAGCAAAGAGCAGTCCTTTATCAGACATGTTCTTTGCACATATTTTCTCACAGTCTGTGGCTTCTCTTCTTATTCTTTTGACAGTGTCTTTTTGGAGAAGTTTTTAATTTTAATGAAGTCCAACTTAACAATTTTTTTTCATGACGTATGCCTTTGGTGTTGCATCTAAAAAGTTATCACACACACACAAAGTTATCCTTGTGCTCAAGGGATAACTTAAGCACTTTTCCCTTTGTTATCTTCTAGTAATATTATAGTTTTGCAATTTACACTTAGGTGTATGATAATTTTGAGTTAACTGTTTCGATTCATTTTTTTGGTATGTGGATATTCAGTTCAACCACCATTTGTTAAAAATACTATTGATTGATTTTTAACATAGGCAACGAGATAATTCTATAGAGAAAAGATAAGCTTTCAGTAACTGATGTTGATACAACTGGATATTCGTATATAAAACAAAAAAATCTTTGACCCTACATCAATACCACATAAAATAATTCAAATTTGACCAGAGGCCTAAATGTCTTCTTCCAGAAGAAAATCTCTGTGACCTTTGTTCAGGCAAAAAAAATTCTTAGAACACCAAAGAACACAAAAAATACAATGTATAAAAGAAAAAGAAATGATAACTTGGGCTTCATCAAAATTTTAATGTTTGCTTTTCAAAAGATACTGCTAAGAAAATGAAAAAAAAAAAGAAAAAGAAACACAGACTGGGAGAAAATATTTGCAGGACAAACACCTGATAGACAAGACTTATATCCAGAATATGTAAAGCATTCCTAGAACTCAGTAAGGAGGCAAACAATTCAATTTTTTTTAAAAAAGGGAAGAATTTCAACAGACACGTCACCAAAGAAGATATACAGATGACAACTACCTGGAAAGGTAAACATCGTTAGTCGAGGGAATGTGAATTAAAACCACATGACAAGCCTCTACACTCATCATAGGAGGCAAAATTCTAAGACGGCCCCAAGATTTCACCCATCTCTCAAAATATCTGAATAATCCCTGCCCCATAAACGTGGGTAGGACATGTGAATGTGTTTTGTTAGTTACAAATATGAATGGCTAATATTTAAAAGACTGTTCCAAGTATTGTCCAAGATGTAGAGAAACGAGCTCTCGTCCTTTGCTATAAGACTGTAAAATGGTATGGCCCACACTGGGTCACAGTTGGTAGTTTCTTTGAAAGGTAAATATACACCTACTGTAGGACCCAGCAGTCGCATGCCTGTACATTTA